ACGCAAGTCAAGAATTACACCCACGTGTACCATTTGCTTCGGTGCTAGTGTAGTAGTGTCGTTCCATTATTTTCTTCGTCAACAGTTAAGGATTTTCCGTGGACGGTGAGATCTAAGAACAAGATGAAGATGATGAAGAAGAATTTGAGGTGACTCTTAATGTTCGCTGTGGGAACCGAATTAAATCACCATAGGTAAAATAATTCCTTCCATTTGGGGATTATTTGACCTAATTGGGAGTTACTCAATTTAATTGGGGGTTACCCAATTAAATTGAGAGTTACCTAATTAAAATTGGGGTTGATTTGATTCCTACCCTGATTAGGGATTGATTTAAATCAAATAAATCAAATCCCTAATTAATCAAATCTCACCTAATCGGGGAGGAATAATTCCTTTCCATCTACTGAATTATTCCTCTGAAACTCTAGCCTCCGAGGCTCCTATAAATACTTGGCTACGCACAAGGGTTCAGGTACGTCTAAATTCCTACTGAAACTCTGCAGAAATTATCCTTCACAAACCCTAGCCACCATATTCTTTCTCTCCCTCACACAAGGCTCCGGCCACCCGGTTTTCCTTGAAATACCCAACCTAACTTAGGCATCGGAGGGCCTTTGGCCAACACCCCCCGGGTGTGGTCCTTTTACTCCGATCTATTTTGCAGGGAGAAGGAGATGGTGACGAAGGAAGGGGAATCTCAATCGAAAATTCTCGTGGGAGGAAATTTGCTCCCACAAATTGGTACTTTCATTGAGAGCGCGAAATAATACTCAAAGCATGCTCCAAATCCATTTTCCACACTTTTTTCTAATCAACCATGGTCGATACAAGACGTTCGAAGAGTAACACCACCACGACGGGCCCGTCTCATGGTTTTGTGGTTTGATATATATGACGGAAATTTGGGTTGATATACATTGTGGTTTGATACATTGTCCAGGTCCCTTGCACACTAGTTTATTTAAAAAATTTCACCGCTCCCTGCACAAAAAAGAAAAAAGAGTTTTTGATCTAATACCAAATAATTATGATTAATATGGGTCTAGATTTGAGGGGGAAACTAGTAATTAAATAAATCATATCTACCAACATATAATAAAGAAAAAAGAAAAAAAATCCAAAACATGAATTGTCTAGTATACTTTTTTTAAACATGGATTAAGTAGCAACTTACTCTTACACCAGAATACAATATGAGTTTAAGCTTTATTTCCAACAGAAGGCAAAGATACGTTACCAATTATGTTCAGCACACTACAATTTGAAGAGGTAAAGAGGACACATAAGTATAAGTACCAGAAATTAGGCACATCCAAAGATATACGGCCCAGAATCCATAGAATGCAAAGGTATTTCATCATCTTCTTCATCTAGGGGAACATTTTCTGATATTCCTTGGTCAAAAGACACTGCATGGCTCAGCAAGTTGTTCCTATCATAAGGTGAAGCATCATCTCCTCTAGCCTCTGTTACAGAAACAGAATTTACATGAGTTGCTTGATTGGTTAGCTCTATAGCAAGCACAGAGCTATCTTTTCTGTCGAAAATGAAATGCTTTGCTATCGTTGACAAGACAGGGGCTTCTGGATGGACGGAACTCAAAGAAGGCCAGTGGTTGTAGAGGAAATGAACCATATATATCAAGCATGAAGAAATTGAAATCACTCCAGTGATGATGAAGAGGCCTCCGAAGCTGTACACATTTAGACTGGGATTGTCTAAAGAGAATGTGGAACTTGGGTCCTGACATTTGGTTTCATATGGAAAATACTTATGTTGCATTGGTTCCATTATCCCATAATTTTGAGTCACATTCAAGATTGCCCTTGAAATGTGAGCAACAAGAGGGGACCCTAGAGGGAAGGCCTGAAATAGAAAAAGAAACAAAATTAATTTCTTCATGTTTAAACAACACACACTCGCATGTGCACGACACACGCGTATATATATATGCATATGTGTCTAATTATTTATCAGCCATAAATATAAACATCTAATTAGGTATTTTCTCAAAAATCATCTGTACAAAAAATCATTCAAATCTGAAACCATTTAACTACTCAGTGTATTAGCATGCTATTCATTGTGGCCTACAAAAGTCATTCATTGTGAGAGACTCACAAAGCCAAATCCATCAGTTCTGTAGGTTGGTCCAACCACAATGTATCTTGAGCAGTACTTGGCGTGGAAGACCTTTATGTAGGGACTTTCATCAAAGATAGCATCAACCCCTCCATTTTTGCTTCCATTGGACAGTGCTTGATGAAATTCCTCCGGGGTAGAATAAGCCTTCAGCTTTTTCTCCTCAAATTTTAACTGGCTTATTAAAAGATCTTTCACAAAGGAATCCTTGTGGTATCCAACATAATCACCAGTTTGTCTGAGCGCATTCACATCAACAACTGCTGGCTGCAACTTATCTACAGTCAACAATGAGGCTAAGCTAGCAGTGTAACTCTGTGTCAAAATAAGTACCACAAAAATCCATATGATCAACACAAATCTGGTCCAGTTGCTCTGCACCTTCTCCTCTAGATACACAAATATATCATGCAAGTTAATGCAAATTGTTAGAAATCAATAGAAGAAAAATCTAACTGAGGAAGAAACTGCAAAACCGTATTCTCATTTATCGAAAGAGAAAGGAGTATATTATAGAAAGATACATATAGCTGAGATTACATAATGTACAATGCTTTAAATAGAGAAACTTTAAGCCCGAGTTAGCTCAAGTAGAGGGAGGGTGGGGTAATGGGTTAGGAATGTAAAATATCAAAGACACGTTTTGGCTCAATGATCCATCAGTGTGATGGAGGGTTTGTATTTATAAACAAATTATACAAGAGCTGAGTTACAGAGATAAGATAGGACTCCTCCTCTAGGAGGTTATCCTTATCACAGACTTTGAAAAACAAATACAATCTGAACAAACTACCAAACTTTCAAATGTACAACTCAATCATGATTTTGAATTCAAAGCTAAGGATAGCGTTGGACTAACATCCCCCCACAAGCTGACAGCACGAGGCAAGACTGGAAACTTGGAGACGAGCATGTTGAAGCGAGTTGAAGACAAACCTTTAGTAAACAAGTCAGCCAACTGATCTTGGGAACAAATAAAATTGACAACCAGTTCACCACGAGTTACTTTTTCCCTTACATAATGATAATCAACCTCTAGATGCTTGATTCTAGAATGAAAAACCGGATTAGATGCTAACGCAATGGAAGAAATATTATCACACCATATGGTAGGAGAAGTAAGAGACAGGTGCAAGTCACAGAACAAAGACCGCAACCAAGACAATTCTGCAGCCGTATATGCTAGCTGACGGTATTCAGCTTCAGTGCTCGAGCGAGAAACAGTTTTCTGCTTCTTGGAACTCCACGAAATCAAATTAGGACCAAGATACACACAATAACCACCAGTAGAATGGCGAGAATCCGGATCCCCTGCGTAGTCTGCATCAGAGAAGGCAGACAAGTGCAAACCACCAGGTTTATAAGCCAGACCATGATCATAGGAAAACTTAACATACCGTAAAATTCGCTTAACTGCCAACCAATGAGTAGACCGTGGAGCATGCATAAATTGACAGACCTGATTTACAGCATACGATAAATCAGGTCTGGTGATTGTAAGATACTGTAAAGCACCTACAATACTTCTATAAGTCTCAGGATCAGAGTGAGGTTCACCAACAAAGGCACTTAGCTTTTGTCCACTGGAAACAGGAGTAGATATTGGCTTAGCATCAACAAACTTAGTACGCTGTAACAGATCAAGTGCATACTTCGACTGCGTCAAGTACATGCAATCACCATCATATGTGACTTCGATTCCAAGAAAATAATGAAGTTTCCCGAGATCCTTCATAGAAAATAAGGTGCCTAAT